AACAGCCGAACTGCAGAACTGCAGTCAGCTGAAGTAGCCTGCAGTGCTGCATTTAACCACTGCGCCATCTTGGCTCTTGCACTTCCGTGCAACATATGGAACGAGCTACCCCCAGAGATCCGGACCCTTCCCACTCTCATGGCCTTCCGAAAGGCTATCAAAACCTGGCTATGAAGCGGTATATAAGTCTACTGCTATATATTGCTATTGCTATTCCGGCAGGCCTGGGGCTGTTGACCTCTCGACCGAGGTCCAGCCCCGATTAGACTGGGTGCATGATGTGTTTTCTTTTTTAATCTGTTTTCCTCCGTTTGCTTTTAACTCTTCACTTTTTAAATTTTATTTTCTGTAAGCCGCCCGGAGCCCTTTCGGGATTGCGCGGCCTATAAATTTATTCAATCAATCAATCAATCAATCAAATCAACAGTCCACCCGCGGACCCACACTCACAATGCAATGCGTGTGCGATCCCTACCCTAGCATGCCCTGGCCCCCTGCATGCACACCTGGCCTTCCCGTGCTCCCTTCTCCCCTCATGAATGCACATGTGACCCCCCTGTGCTCTCCCCGTGCATGCGCGGGTGAACACCCCCCCACCGTCCATTCGCCCTATTGTGGGCCTCCCTGTAGCTCCCTGGGAGCAAAAATGAGCTTGGAGGGGGGGGGGCATCTGCCCTTGCACATGTGCAGCAGAGACCCAAAAATCAGCTGGCCGGTGGGAGGCATGTGCCCATGCGCGGTGGAGGTGAGCTGGGGCAGCGTCTCATGTGCCTTCAGAGGGGGGATCTGCGTACCACAGGTCCACGATCAGAGGTCTAGGATCTCCTGCTTGGACTAGAAGACCTTCAAGGTCCCTTCCAACTCTTCTTATTCTATTTCTACGTTCTAAGTTCATCCTGTGAAAGAATTTCAGTTTTTCCTCCCCGTTGTGCAAATGCACACTCGGACACCCACAGAAACCCTTTCCATGCCCTGGAGAAGGAATCAGAACAGTTGGGGAATGGAATGAAAGGAGGGTTTTAAGGATACGGAGACGCGATCCAGCGGCAGAAGCAAGCAAGGGGGCTGTGGGGCTGAGGGATTTGAAAAGGGGGATCTCGAGAGATCTGTTATAGGAGAGGCAAGAAGCAACATCACAACCTCTATCAAGACATCAGATACGGAAGCCGGCCCCACGAGAAAATCCCCCCTGTGGGGGGGGGGCAATGTTTTCCTCCAAGGTCTCTACGACGAGAGACGTTCGTAGTAGCCTCATTTCACCAACACTGTGTAAATCCCACGGCAGCCGGAGAGCACAGTTTGACACCTCCCGGCTGCTGTCAGATGCTAATCTTGCCACAACATAACAACGTTGCCAAGTTTTGCCCAGAAGCCCTGGAAATCCTTCCGACTGGTACCTGTGCCTCAGATCAGCTGCAGCGAGAAATTGACTGATTAGTTCATCCCCGTTTATAGTATGATAGGTTTAATTAGCCATGTGTTTAATTGTTATTTTGTATATTTTTTATTCCTTTT